GTGGCCGTACTAATAGTAAACACAACACATCAGTCTTGTGTAGAAAAATGAGTGTGGTTTATGAAAAAAAGATAAACTGACTGAAGTATGCTTTGTCCTGAGATTTCTTCTTACAATGTTTTTAAAAATATTTCTCGTCAGTCAGTCTCTTCTCGGTGTGCGCACGCACAAAATCAGATGCATATACACACACGGATACGAACGCAGATACACGCATACATAATCACCACGCAGACCACACCACACACGAGAGAGAGAGAGAGAGAGAGAGGAGAGAGAGGAGAGAGAGAGAGAGAGAGAGAGAGTGAGAGTGAGAGTGAGAGTGAGAGTGAGAGTGAGAGTGAGAGTGAGAGTGAGGGAGTGAGAGTGAGAGTGAGAGTGAGAGTGGAGTGAGAGTGAGAGTGAGAGTGAGTGAGAGTGAGTGATAGTGATAGTGATAGTGATAGTGATAGTGATAGTGATATGAGAGAGAGAGAGAGAGAGGAGAGAGGAGAGAGAGAGAGAGGAGAGAGAGAGAGAGAGAGAGAGAGAGAGAGAGAGAGAGAGAGAGAGAAAGAGAGAGAGAGAGGGGGGGGGCAGGATCCAATCCTTTCCTTGATCATGATGTGAAAACCAACCTAGCATCTGACCAGAGATTGGTATAACATGATAATTTAAATGCAGACTATATGGTTGAAAATAAATCTTTCAGTCGCGGTCTAGGATCCGATGTTTCAGGATTATAAACAATCCCTCATATTTTGCAAACAAACTTATTCACGAAGTTGGTGGGCCTTCTCCTACTGTACAGAGTAGCTTTTAGAAGAATTGTTTATGATCCTAAAACATCTTAGCCAAGGACTGAAATTCATTTATGCTAGGATGGCTTTCACAGTATTTGCACAATTTCCATCAAACCCTTAGAGGAAATCTGATACTTAAGAATGAGTATTTACTTTAGCATTTACTTGCTTCTAACAATGTACATGTCAATACAGTGTTGCATGGATATTACTGGAGGACTGTCATGATGATAATCACTGTCATTATCAGTAAAAACATCGACATGTGTTTGATACTTTATCTTTAATACAAATTCATACATATTTGATAAGTCACAAAAATACATGTGCCTTTTCAGAGGAATATTAATTCAAGCTGATCACATAAATAAATATTTATTTCATATATCATATACAGTATTATTGAAAATCCCCAATAGATCACCAAGCAGAATCACTTAATAAAAAATTACAATACCTTTAATCTATAAAGCAAAAAACATAGGTTATATGTAATAATAAATAAAATATTTCTTTGAAAAAGTCCTCAAGAAAACAGTATCCAGAAGTTATCAAATAAAATGCTTACTCTTTTCTGATCACCCTCCATAAACAAAATTATACTGCTATCCACTTATACAGGTTGGTTGATACCATTAGTGCTTTTAACAAGTATATTTGGCTGGTCAAAAGATGACAATAACAGCCTATGATTCAGATTTTGCAGATCATTCTTATAACTATGCTGGAAGTCCATTCCCTTCACCAAAACTGAAATGATATAAAACAGAACACAAAGAAACCTTATAAAAACTCAGTAAGACCACTCAGCAAGACCCAGCATGAAGCATAATAAACTATTTTTCCATAGTGCCCAATCAGGGAAAATGTAACAGTCACATATACAGAAAAAATACCATTTATAGTAGTTAGTTCAATCTCTGTTAATTACTGATCAGTATATAGCCCCCGTATGCTACTCGTAAGTGTTGTGTGGTGTAATGTAGTCTAGCACACTGTGGTGTGGTGTGGTGTGGTGTGGTGTGGTGTGGTGTGGGTGGGTGTGGTGTGGCATGGTGTGGTGTGGTGTGGTGTGGTGTAGTCTAGTATATGTGTGTGTATTCATGTGTTCATCTCAGCATGTGTTATACATTGTGTATGTATGACTTTGAATTAGGCTTTATGGATAACATGTGTGTGTGTGGGACGGGTCGGTGAATGTGTTAGGCTTTATGGATAAAAAAATTGACAAATATCAATAGTGAGATATAACCCCTTTGTACTGCCTCTTCCTTTTTTCAACACAACTATTTGATATCACTAATCATTTACAACAAAACCACTTTTATTAATTTCTTTTCCATAATCAATTATCATGTTTAATTGAAAATTCATCTCACTTTATCTTTTCAGAATTAAGATCTGATCATTATTCTATCCAATTACCAAATATTACTGGTTTCCTTCGAATTTCAAAATTACTGAATGCTTATTAAACACATGCATTTATTTATTATATACTTCAACAGGCAATGTTTTTCAAAGCTGTGCAATTAATAGAATCAAATGCATGTCTATACCAAAGGTGCTTCTGAATACATACAAAGCCAAAATGGATGATAAACCATATGAAATATAGATGTAAAAGAATACAACACTGATCATAAGGAGGAAGACAAAGTAAGAAGAAAGTCAACTGGAGTAACTAGGCACAAAGCATTTTTAAAAATATTTCTATT